AATCTCGACCTTCCGAATCCATGGTTAGTTCAAGAAATCTACCATATGATGTGGCCTAAATAAGGTAAGGGAGGGGGGTTTAGCTTATTTGGGCCACAGTGTGGCCTAAATAAGGTAAGGGAGGGGGGTTTAGCTTATTTAGGCCACACTGTGGCCCAAATAAGGTCACCCTTCTGAAATATCTTATATAACCATCTGTAGCAACAACAAAACAGCACAATATTGCAAGGATCTATATATTCTTTCTCAACTGTTAAAGCAATCCTCCTAAATTATCATAATTACCTGAGATGTCTCCCAAGGTGATATGTGAATCATGTTAACATTCAAGACGACATCTAAAGACTTTGGTGCTAAGGTACTTGTGTGCTCAGGCTTTGTAATATCAAGGCGAATGGGCGGTAGGACATTGTCAAGTCCATTTGAGGAGATGTGAGCTGAAATACTAAAAAAGGAAAAAAAACAATGGTAAAGTTTCTTCAACAAAACGAAACATCAATTTTTACGACACTGAGAGAAATCAAATTGCAAACACATGACATACATTATCAAATACAAATCATCCTGTTTTTATGAAGAAATAGATAAATTCAAATTATTCAATGGAACAGGAGACAAAAGCTCTGTGCATCCTTTCACTTTATGGAGATGTCTCATAAACCACTTTTACATGAATATACTGGTTGCGAAATGGATAACACACAGTACAAACATCTATTTTACTTTAATTTCAAAATCTATTTTCATTACAAACATACTTTATAGAAAGAGTAAGTAGTTGGACACCACGCAGTTATCTCAAATGAGCTATCAGTGCAGCAGGCATGCTTTGTTGTAAATTTGCTGCTGAGGGTCCAAAGTAGATCCTACACTGTATTTACCTGTCTGAGATCTACAGTATAGATATTCTGACATCTTCTTATGGAAAAAAATGCATAACGCTATGTGTAACTTTTGATTTATACAACAAGAAAAAAAAAAAAACATACAACATTTTAAGCTCTCAGATTTCATGTTTCAATAAAAAATCAAAGTAAAGGGACCTAGGTAATCTTTCTGTCTGCTGTAAAAAGAGCTTTCTCTGAAAGGACAACTTGTGACACACCATCAACGTATTTCTTGATCTTATTTGAAATAATGTAGGCCTACATATAACATTGAAAGCTTTTAATTTTAATCTTCTTTTTCCCCTATGCTGAACAAAATTGAAAATATCCCTTCCAATATTTAGTTTAGAGATAGCGTCATCTGATCCTGCAACAAATTATAATAAGACAACCGGACATGGGTACACAAAAACAAGAAAGTGAACCTTTTAAGATATTCCTCCTCTAAATCACTGGGTTGCCAAGTAATGTGCAGGTTCTGAGAAGCAAAAAAGGCAACATGCTGGCCTGGTCCTGATGCTATCTCCAGCACCTGACCCTTGACACCTGGATCTGGCAGGTAACTCTGCAGCACATCTAAGACACACACAACAGAAAGTTTGTGAGAGATGGGCCAGAAAAGTAGATAAAGCTTTTCAAGGAGACAATTTGGGGATCTTTTACTCAGTTTTAGTTTAGTGTAGTTTAATTTAAGTTATGAGAAGCACGATAACAGTCATTTGTGTAGGGCTAAGAAAAGGCAAGATTGACAGAAACAAAAGAGAGAAAGAAAAAAAGTAGGACCTACCAGTGATACCCTCCAGCTCCCACTGTCACTCAAAGACATATATATAGAATATAATAAATGTATTCCCTGCTCAACCAATGTTAGATTTCAAACATTAATTGATCAGACATTCATACAGCTCCATGCAATGCTAAGATGGGTTCTCCGAAGGTCCCCTTTCAGGACAAGCAACTAAAAGAATTTATGTACAATTTTATTTACGTTACTTGCACTCGAACCCTGAAATTTTGCACCAAAAATATAAACATGTAGAAAGACTTATGGTCTAGAAGTAACAAAAACCGGATGTTTACTGTACATACGCAGTAGGGGAAAATAATGAACAACTGAAAGAAGCAACAAAGGAATAATGTATAGGACCTACTGGAACCTAAGTGCAATTCTCCTCCCCCCCCCCCAACAGACTTGAATACTATGATAAAGAAGCAATAATGCACAGCTTACTTACCAAGAATGTACTGTTTGTTTCTCTCCCCTGCAGGGGCTACTAACATTCCTTCGTCTTTCTTTGCAACTTTGTCTGCAAAACAGAAGTTCAAACAGATTTAGTTCAGACACCAGATTATGAAATCTTTAATACTACAAAATAGAAAGCAAAATGAACTATGGTTTAAGAGCTTTACTGCAGCCTATTATCAACAATAACCAGCAAACATGAAAGAGTCAAATTATAGAATGTAATGTTAAAGTATTATGTATACGCTGTGATATTTATGAAATGAATACTTTTACCCTACTTTGATACCTTAACCTTCCCCAGTTGCTGAACTACCTTCACCTTCTTTTTGCAACCCAGTAGTAGAGGGTTTTACGGCGCTCGCAACTGCATAAGGTCATAAGAGCGCCAAGGGGTGGGTGTCAACAGAGAAGTCCTTACAGGGAATCAGACTTACTCTGCTCATCTCTCTAGCTTCAACAGCACAAGGTCTGCTTCGACTATCAAGGCACCCCAGAAATAGCGGGTCACAAGGCATCCCAGAAATAGCGGGTCACAAGAGTGTGACAAACATACAAAAGAAGTAGAGGAAAATGACAATAGTAAAGATTAGGAAAGAAAAAGCAGCAGTTCCCTGTTGCAGATCAGGCACAGTTATGACATGAGCGTGACATGATGAATCAGCCCATTTACAATTCTACTGTGCTTGAACGAGAAATGTCCCCCCTTTGGGAATGGCCTAAAGACACTACAGTCAGCGGCACTGCCCCGGGGGTTTTTGCAACCCATTTGGACATAATGGTATACAGATGGATTGTCATGACAACCAACCATTGTTGAGAACAAAAGAAGCCATCTTAGGCAGGTAGTCCTTTTGGACAGTGTCATAGAAAAAACACAAAAGGGGGGATGGAAAGAGGCTTTAAGTATAGCTGGCTGTCATATGTTTATGTCTTGGCAGGTTTGACTGTATTTCCGTAAGGGGGGGGGGGGAGAAGTGGTCACTTGTACAGGCAGTTGTCTTAGACAGGAGGTAGTCGCTACAGCACGTTCGACAGTATTGGATAACAATATATGTCATTGTATAAATCTAATGCTTACTCAACTAAGCAGTCTCAAAAAAGCAATGTCAATGGTACAGCAATGATCTCTCATTGAATTGATAATATGGTACAATCCAGGTTGCCAAAGTTCAAGCTTCAAGGCCCTGACCTGGCTATAGCTAGCATGAGAGAACAATTTCAGTTCATTTAATAACAATAATAATATTAATAATGTTGAAGATTAATATATATATAATAAAGTAGTGATGATAACATAATAATTATTATTATTGTCATCATCACAATAATAATAATAATAATAATAATAATAATAATAATAATAATAGGCCTAATAATACATGTAATAGAAATAATAATATAATAATAATAATATTAATAATAATAATAATAATAATAATAATAATAAAAGACGGACAGACGAACTACAGACAGACAGACGGACGAACAGACAGACAGACAGACAGACAGACAGACAGACAGACAGACAGACAGACAGACAGACAGACAGACAGACAGATAGAAAGCATTTTTATAGCACTTCATGACACTTTATCCCATTAGTAAACAAGCTCTGAGCACTAACATTCCTATACCAGGATGCTTTGATGGGACAGCAAAGGCAATGCTCTCAACAACCAACGATCATCGCCAGACGCTCTTGTGTTGAAACTTTTCACCACTTACTATAAATGGTGTCACACAAGACTTTTCACGCGCCTAGGGCGAAAAGAAGTCAAAGGTCCGTAATACCCCCACTTTACTAGATCTACTCTGATTGGGTTTTTGCGGTTTAAAAACTGAAGCCAGGAAGCTGTGTACTATCAGACACAGCGATTCATAGGAACTCTTTCTACAAATCCATTCGAATTTGTAAGCTAGCAAGGCCGCCCGGCCTCTCTCTCTCTCTCTCTCTCTCTCTCTCTCTCTCTCTCTCCCCCCCTCTCTCTCTCTCTCTCTCTCTCTCACACACACACACACACACATACGTACACACATACTCAAACTAATATGAACTCATGCTGTAAGAAATTCCTCTGGCACCCAAAAATGCCACACAAAAATCTGACTAACGAAAGTGTCAATGGTGACCAACAGATGGTTCAGTATTGATTTTGCCGACATGAAAAGATCCACATCATGGAATGGCCTTGGGCCTTGGATCCCCTTATATATATATATATAGCATTCCGATAGTTAGCACCTAGCCTTCCAAGTACAGGGAATACGCAATCAACAATAGTAAGGTCACATGGCAGTTCCCTACCAATCTCATGCACAATGTATGGCAAAGTCCTCCGCGTAATCTTTGCACAGACCTGGGTATGCTCTCCGTGGCCGAGGCTCATAAACTAGGGTCTAATGATTACCAATCGCAACAGATAAGTTCAGTTGAGATAAATTTAATTTAACCGACGAGTTGCTGAAAACCCTAGCCGAAATTAATTTACTACTGGTGTTGACTTATTTCTGGTACGAGCACCTGGGTCTGGTCTGTGACTGTGGTGTAGCCGTTGCAAAAGGCGCTGCGTCGTCGCACGCGGTAAAAGCTAAGTTTGATTCCCGAGACGAGGAGAATTATTCGTCAATTATTTCCGTCTTTCTGCCCGAGTTGGCACATACAGGCAAGGCTGAAGCAGCCCGCCCCCTAAATGACCTAAATAGTGTGGATGGGGGCGTAAAACGTTAGCAATTACAGGTGTGAGCACTTGCTGGAATCGCTGAGAGATTTGGTGTGTCCGGTTCATGCAGCTGGTTTGCTAAAACTAAAACTAGGCACACGAGGACTCTACCAAAGTACCCGAACCCCCACAGTCCTGCAGAAAAATTAATTAGATATGTCTTCAGTGCGTTGTTTCAAGTCAAACTCGCGGTACATATTAACGGGCTTCTGACAGGTCAAAGTCTGGGCGTTTGTCTGTCAGTCTGCTTGAGCACAAGGGTGCATATATCGAAACACTTATAACGCCATTTGCTGCAAGGGGGAAAGTAAGACAAACAGACAGAAACAAGAGATGGAGAGAAAAGAGGGAGGGACTATGGTAGTGGCGTCCTCCATCCGCCCACAGGCGAGGCAAAGGCGTTAAGGGGAGGCGTATAATGTAGGGAAAAAATAATCGTCTCGAGAAACGTGTTACGAACTTAACACATTACGCCTACAGAACATCGGCATAAAATGCGACATAGACGTAGGCTGCAAAGTTTCAAAACAAAATCCAGTTGACAACTAAAAGCTCCGCCCTTAATTGCAATACTACATGAATTGTGAACTGTATCTAGATCTAGTTTACAAGTAAAACGCCCAAACTCCAAGCAACTTTAAGTAGACACTTTCCGCAATTTTCCCAACTGAGCAATAGAAGAAACGAGTGTGATCAGCGAAAAACAACAACCATACTGTAGCGATTGAACAGCAGAATGGACAGCATTCAAGTAGTCACAATAACAAATAATGTAAGCATGACTCCACGTTAATATAAAATTTAAACATGCATTATGACACGTAAATCTACATGCGATTACACGACTTATTTTATTCATTTGCAACACAGAGTACGTTTTTACAGGCTAATAAAAGGCAAACAAGATCCCTTACCACGGAACCCAGCCTACTGCTTTCTTGTAGAATCAGTTAAGTCCGTAAAGATCGAACAATACTTGCACGGCGTTCAAACAAGCTTTGTGTTAGTTATTGTCAAAGTATTACGGCATTTGAAACACGCTAAATAATGTCAAAGTATTACGGCATTTTAAACACGCTAAATAATGTCATAATATGATATGCGCAGAAGATTAGAGGTGTTACTGGAAAGTAACTTACAAAGAAAAGGAGGGATAATGACGTTTGGTATGGTTCATTTTCATTGGAAAGAAGGAGCAAACTGCAAATCCCACCAGAGCGCACGCCAACCAACCACGACGTTCAAAGAAGCCGACGCAATTCGTATTGGGGTAAATTCCGCTGACAGCATCATCTCTGATTATCATAACATTTTTAGCTAAAATTGAGATACAGACCTAGATCTAGATCTACACGTAGATTCATAGGATTTCCTGTCCAAGCATATACCGTATTTATATATGTATATTATATATATATTATTATAGGCCTACTGCCGACAAGGCTGAACTTACGCGAAACTCATACTCGTTTCGTCACTGGTAATAGAAATAGCGAGAGAGGATAATCAAAGACCACTTACCAGCGTACGATTTATGCGAGTAATCCATCTCGAAAGTCACTAGTCTTCTGTATTAAATAAAAACGAAACCAATTTCAACAAGCACAATGTAACTTATAGTTCAAGACAAACAATAAATGTGTAACAAAGAAAGGTTCTCATATCAAACTCGTGATAAACAACGTGACCCCAGCTGGTACCGACGGGCACTAGCACAAAAATAAGGCCAAGGGAACTTCGACAGCTTTTCAGGCTGACCAACACACGTTGTCTCTATCTCTGGCCTTGAGTTGTAAGGTAATAGGGAGAGGCTACAGCTTCAAAAACGGAAAGCTTGTAAGTTTGGGTGTGTTCCACAGAGCAAGGACCTGTTCCGCACCCAAACTTTTTTCCTGAAGCAGCTGACGACAAATTTACAATCAGTTAGGCCTAGTTTTATCACGGGCACTGTGACTGCGATGGTCTACCCATAGTATAATTACTATATAATGGAATGCACACACCGCTTTACAATAAATAGTAGTTCAGTAGTACAATATAACCCGAAATGACAGCGACGGTAGTGACAGAGAGACATATATTGTAAAGTATTCAAAACGAAGCTTATCATTATTAATCATTACCGCAGACATACTGCCTTAAAAACAGTTGCAGAATAAAGTAATCTCTCTCTCTCTCTCTCTGTCTCTGTCTCTCTGTCTCTGTC